GAAAGGGCAGTGTGTGAAAGTAAGCTGTGAGAATGAGGTAAAAAGTGCAATGAAGAACTCAGAAAGTTGGAGAAGCCAGAAATGTGTAACATCTAAGGAAGACTGCAATGAATGAGGAGAAAAGCCAGCCCAAGATAGAGGTCCTGAAGGTTACAGGACAATCAGGGTTGCCCAAGTTCTTTGGAGTTCACTTCTTATCACCACAACTTGCCACAGGTGCTGGAGATGGAGCTAATTTAATGATTGCTCTGCAGGGTTTTGGTCTTGCTTTGGTCCCATTAATTTCTATCCCCAAATTTCTCCCTTTTCGATTTAGAATGTTTACCCTGTTCCATTGTATGTTGGCAATGTTTAACTTCTTTTTTTTTTATTTTTATAGGAGCTCACAGCTAAGAATTTGCCTTAAGTCTCAGGGGAGACTTTGGACTTTTCAGAATGTTGGAACTTTTGGGACTCTGGGAACTCTTAGAGATGGACTAAGTGTATTTTGCACAAAGAAACAGACATGAGTCTTTTGGGAGCAGGGGCAGAATGTTGTAATTTCTATCTAGATACCCCCCAAATCCTCATGTGCTCAAAGGTGGGACTTTTGAAAGGTGATTGAGTGATGAGGGTGGTATAACTGACTTGTTCTTCGTAGGTTGGTTCTTGACAAAGGCAGGTTATAGTGGGTGTGACCTGGAAGGGTGTATCTCTCTTCCTGGCTCCTCCCTTGGCTCTCTGCTTCCTAGATGCCATGCTGTGAGCAGCTCTGCTCTGCCATGGCTTTGTCCCATGATGTTTCTTCTTTGAAGCCTACCAACCACAAACTGAAACATGAGCCAAAATAAATCACTCCTCCCTTAAATTGTAGATGTCAGGTATTATGTCCTAGCAAGGAGGAAAGTAAGCAAGATACCCAGCCCTACTCTCAAATTATAGTAACCCAGGATCCCAGGAAGGCAGGGAAGAACAAATGTGTTAGATATATAGTTTGGATTTCTTATAAGTCTAAGTTTTCTCCTCCTTTTCCACTTTATAATTAAATATTCCATCTTGATAGGAGGTGTCCTTCTGCAAAGTTGCCACATTTACAGCCCAAACTGCCTGTTTGTCATGGTGACTTTTCTCTCATTGCTGAGACAAAATACCCAATGCCCCAAATCAAGGAAGGAAAGGTTTATTTAGCTCACCATCTGTGGAGATTTCAGTCCATACTTGGCTGGCTCCAAGACAGAGTGGCACATGGCACAGGGCAACCATTCATGGTGGCTAAAGATAGCAAAGCAACAACAACAAAAGGGAAGAGTGGCGGAAAGCAGCCTGTTTCTCTCACTTATATATGCAAACTATCTGCCCCAGGGCGGGTATAGCACTCACACCCATGATCCCAGCATTGGACTATGGATCAATCAAATATCTTGAAGCCCACAGCATGACTGCATGAGGATTTGGGGGGACACCCAGACACAAACCATAACACTGTTGTGAGAGTAGGCTGCATTGAAATTGGTTGTCCAATTGTCTTTTTTCAGGTTTTCCTTTGATCCCTTGCCATCTTTCAGTAGTACCTGCTGCCTGCACTTTTCAATACCAGCTACATTTTTTTCACAATGCATGCAATTATCAGAAACTTCACTCATGATGCTAATTTAGATTTTTAAATCTTCACTGAAAGTTTTGTCCAAATTCTATAAGGAGTTGGGTCATGTTTTCTTTTTCTTTATTTGTGGTTTTAGGGACTGAACTTAGGTCCTCATAGATTTCTCACACTTAACATACACTAAAACAGCAGCTGCCAGCAGATCTGGAGCCCACCTTATCTCCTCGGTTAGGAGCTAAGGGAGTACTGGGCAAAGAGGAAGAGGTAGCCTGCAGGTTTGGCTAGAGTTTCAGTGAACTTTACAGATTTGTCTATCTTCCTTCCTTCCTTCCATCTTTTTTTTAAGAAAAGCTTTATTGATACACTATTTTACATGCAACACAATTCACTGATTGAAGGTAAAAAATTCAATGGTTCTTTTAGAATAGTTACATTGCCATAATCAATTTAAAAAGAAATCTTTTACATTTTAGCCATCATTCCTCTATACTCCATCCTCTTAAGCCTGGGCAACTGCTGATCCCTATTTGTCACTATGGATTTACCTATTCTGGACATGTCACATAGAGTCATATATTGTGTGGCACTGTGTCTGGCTTTTTTGAGCATAATGTTTTTAAGATTCATCCATGTTGTAGTATGCACCAGTACTTCATTTTCATTTAGGCTTGAATAATACTTCATTGCATGGGTATGCCATATTGTGTTATCAGTTCATTAGTTGATGGTCATGTGGGTTATTTGCCACTTTTGAGCATCATGTACAAGTTTTTTGTCTGAATTTCTATTTTCAGTTTTGTGGTCTATATGCCTATGAGTGCAACTGCTGCTCCCTATAGTTATTGTATGTTTATTTTTTGTAGGAACCACCAGAGTATTTTCCAAACTAACTGTACCATTCAATGTTCCCATTAACAACTTACAAGAGTTTCAACTTGCCCACCAGCACTTACTATCTTACTTAAGAAACAAATGGGGGGGGTGGTATGTTGCCACAGCTGGCCTCAAACCACTGGGCTCAACAGATCCTCCTGCCTCAGAGTCCTAAATATCTGGGATTGCAAGTATCTACCATCATATGGGACTTACATTTTTAGTGTGGGAATTGTGAAGTTGTATCTCACGCTTTGGATTTACATTTCTCTGATGGCTAATGATGTTCAGCAAATTTTCATGTGCTACTTGAAAAACCATAACCCCCCCCCTCAGAAATGTCTATTTAACTCTTTGTCTAATTTTAAATTTTATTTGGTTTCTGTTCTTTTCAGTGTTCTTTGTATAATCTGGTTACTAGACTCTTAGATATATGATTTGCAAACATTTTCTGAGTTTTTTTATAATACATTTTGGTGCACAAAACTTAACTCTCATGAAGTCTAATTTATCTACTTTTTTCTTTGTTGCTTGTACTTTTAGTGCCATATCTGAGAATCCACTACCAAAACCAAGCTCATAAAGATTTACTGCCATCTTTTCTCCTAAGGTTTTTGTAGTTTTAAGTTCAACATTTAAGTCTTTGATACATTTTGAATTAATACTCATATATGGTGGAGGGTAAGGGTCCAAATTTGTTCTTCTGTATATGGATATTCAATTGTCCAATCAGCAGTTGTTGACAAGAACATTCTTCCCTCATTCAATAGTCTTGGTGATCTTGCTGCCAAACAGTTGACCATATGTGTAGGTTTATGTCTAGGCTTCCATATGTATTATCCTTTTAGTGGAGAATAGTGTTTGGAAACCACTGTCTTGGTGCTGGGTGTGCTCAGAGCTCCTGAGGTTTCATTTCTAGTCTTTAGTGGACAGAGCAAGGAACTATATGCACATATACACTGACACATTCATCTCTTCCTCTATGTACATACACACACTCTCATAGAACTTCTCCTTTAAAAAAGTTCATATTAATGCTTTCAGTTTCAATACAACACCATGAGGTTCATTTTATCCTTCCTTTTTACATGTTTGCAAACAATGTCTGACACTGAAAAACCTATCGATTATTTAACATATTTACTTAATTGTCCAATCAATTTACTTACTTGCTTAATTTAATAGGTTGCCGTCTCTCTCCTCACTTGAGGGCACTGACACAGGACAGTTTCCACTAGCCCTCTTCTCTGTCCATTACCAAAAGGCTGGGAACTCTAATGCCCAGCCACCAAGTATGTTGACACTCCATGTATGCACTCCCCACATGCCTATTGTACAAATTATAACTCAGATTATTAGAAGAAAGTTCAAATTGCTGTAATTCTATAAATGTAAACAGTTTTCAAGGTAGATAGAGATGTTAAGGGTACCTATTCAGCTCTTGGTTTGTGTAAATGGGTATGCTCTATTCACTGAGGTAAAAACAGTGTGGGTACATAGGTTACATTGAAACCGTGAGTTCAGATTTCAGTGTGCTAAGCTTGAGGTGCCATTAAGATAACCAAGTGGAATTGTCTACTGGGCAAGTAGAGATGTAGGTTTGGAGTTCAGATAGAGGTACTGATGGAGATATAGGTAAGCAAAGATAGATAAGCCTATCAATGAATCTGAGAAGAGACAAAGAAGAGAAAAATTTTAAAAAAGAATAGAATAGCAGAAACTAAGAGAAGTAGGCTTCACAGAGGAACGACCAGCTAGGTCAAGACTGTGCAGTTCATTAAGGACATTTAGCACGTACTGACATTCACTATGTGGATTTGGTAGGTGTGGTTTCAATGGGGTCAGGTAGGTAAAGGCCAGAATACAGTGAGTTAAGATGACAGAAGGAGAGAACAAATATAAATTGTTCTCATCAGAGTCTTGGCTGTGATTTAAAATATAGAACCCAGTGTCCATAAAGGCATAAAGAAGTGTGCGTTGTTTTTTGTTTTTCGGGGTTTTTTTGGTGCCAGAAATCGAACTCATGACCTGAGGCTTGCCAGGTAAGCACTTATGCCGATGAGCTATATCCCCGGCCCATGAACACAATGTTTTGTATAAAGGTAAGCCAAACTGGTAAAGGAGCAACAGTAACCACACAGCTTGTCCACATTACCATTCCTTATAATGATCAACATTTTAAAACGGCTGAACACTGAGCTAAAAGGAATCTTGATTGTCATCTACTCTAATTTCATTTTAGACACAAAGACAATAGAGCACAGAAAGAGAAAGGGACTTGTGCTCAAGAGTGGCCTGTAAAAATATTCACATCATGTTATTCCCTCTCAGATTTTCTTTTTATCATCCTTTTATTTTACAAAATGGTACCCTACTCCCTAGCTCTTTACTTAAAATGTATACATGTTTATTATGCAGTAATTATAGACTTTCAAGAAGCTGCAAAATTAGTAGAGTTCCATGTACTCTAGTCCAGTTTCCTCCAGTGATAAGATTTTCCACACGTGCAGTACAACTTTAAAGCCAACCAGTCACAATGGTAGAATACTGTTTAGCAGACTACAGACTTTATTCAGTTTCACTAGATTTTACATGCATTCATTTATGTGTGTACAGATCACACAGCTTTAGCATCAGTAAATTCATGTATTCAACACCACAATTAAGATTAGAAAACTGCTCCATCAGCACAGAGGAACTCCTTGTGTCATCCCTAAAGAGTCACACAGAAGCCGTACCCCATCCAGTCCCCATCCCTGGCACTCATTAATCTGTTCTTCGTTTCTATAATTTTGACATTTTAAGAATGTTGTACAAATGCGGTCATACAATATGTAACCTTTTGATATTGCTTTTACAATTCACTATTAACACCCCTGAGGTTCATCTCAGTTTGTGTGTGTTCATAGTCTGTTCCTTTTCATTGCAAGGCAATATTTGAGGGTACAGATGATTTGTTCAGCTTAAGTATAAATTCACGTGCTCAACACCACTATGATGATCAAAAACTGCTCCATAAGCACAAAGGAACTCCTTGTGTTACCCGCTGCAGGACATCTGCACTGTTCACAGGTTTTGAATAAAGCCACTATGAAAACTTGTGTCCAAGTTACTGTGCCCACAAAGGTTTTCATTTCTCTGGGATAAATGTCCAGAAGAGCATTTTCTGGGTTATATAGTATGTTTAATTTTAGAAGAAATTTCCCAACTCTTCCAGACTGGCTATACCATTTTACATTCTTATAATCAACATATGAGAAATTCTAGTTTGCCCCTTCAACAGCATTTGACGTTTTCACTCTTTTTGCATTAGCCCTTCTGCTAAATCATACTGCACTGTGATTTTACTTTGCAATTCCTGATGACTCATGAAGTTCAGTATGTTTTCAAGTGATTACCTGCCATCCATATATCCTCTCTGGTGAAATGTCCATTCATGTCTTTAGCTCATTTTCTAATTGGATTTTATTTTATTGTGGAGTTTGATCTCACTGTGTATTTCCACATTGATCAGACACTCTATGGTTTGCAAATAATTTAAAACTGTAGCTTGTCTTTTCCTCTTAGATTTTTTTTACAGAGCAATTTTTAAAATTTTGACAAAGTCCATTGTATAACTTTTTTCTCTTATGAACTGTACTTTTGAGTTGAAGTCTAATAATTTATCTCCTAAAGACTTTTTTGCTATGACTTTTTTCCCCTAAAAGTTACAGCTTTACATCTTACATTTAAATGAATGATATATTTTGAGGTAAGTTTTACAGCATGCATGAGTTAGCTGAGCTTTGTTTTGTTTTTTGCCTATGGACATTTGAGGGCTGCAGCATGATTTGCTGAAAAGTGTATCTTTTCTGCATTAAACTGCTTTTGGATTTTGTCAAAATTAGTTGGGCATATTTATGTGAATCTATTTCTAGGTTCTATCTTCTGTTCCACTGATCTGTGTGTCTATCTCTCTGCCATTACCATGCCATCCTGATTACTCTAGTTTTATAGTAAAAGTGAAGTCAGGTAATGTGAATTCTCCAATTTTTTCTTCATCAAAATTGGTTTATCTTAATTTTATGCAAGGTATTTTCATCTGTCCTCTAGGGGGAAGAAAGAATAGAGAAGAACTGTGGCACCAGGGAATTAGGGAGAAAACCAGGATTTACATTCCATATGCACCGGGGCAGTTTTCAGATGTAAGTGTGCCTCAGAGTCAGCATGCAGTTCATGCACATTTCTAGACTACAACATACTCAGCCCCACATGTATTTCAGTATGCAATCTGAAAAACACTAATTTGGTAAGAAACCAGATGTAAAGCCCAAAACACCTATTTTACTGTTGTGATTGAGGTTCTGTTTTCCTTCTTTTGATCTCCTCCAATTCCCAGGTTTTTTTAGTATGAGATAGCCCTGAATCTTTTCTGAAGACACGTATTTATCATTTGTGGCTACACATACTAGGAATAATGTCATTGAACCTTTCCAAGCATGATTTTTATTACATTTTAAATCCTAAATGTTTTAGAAAACACATTTATGTTATAGTGGAATTTCCTAGGTAGATAGGATCTGCTCAATAGGAATCTGCTTCACAGTCAAATATCTAGAACTCCTCTGGTTGGTTAAAAAGGGCACCCACAGAGATTTAAGACTGATAGGTGTCTCAGAATACATACTGTAGAGGTCAAGAAGGAAGCCATGAGACATATGCCTCTCAATAAGAGCAGAAAATAGAGGTGAGGTGTTGAGTCCTCTATACTTCCTTCCACTAACGCTCATGTACTTACTGTTCACTTGTCTAACATAAGCATCATAACTACAAGTAGAAACAGAAAGTATTCTTCTTTCTTTAGCTTCGTGTAGGAAGTGGATGTAAGTGAAAATGGAAACAAAGACTTTCAAGTTCAAGACGGGAAAATAACATTTAGAATATACTTCAGAGACATTTCATTACAAGATAGCCTTTGTCAATGTAACTTTGATAGCCTTTAAAAATAAATTTCATATACTACATAAACCATCCAGTATATGCTGTTTGTAGACCACGTATAGGTACAGTAGAAGGGTTCAATAAGCTCTTGAGCAATTTTCAGGAAGAGCATCTTGTGTTTGTGCATATATAAAGCAATATAAAAGTACTGCCCTACTGTCTGCCTACCCGCATTATATGCAGTTTTGAGCCATATTTAGTATACAAATTTTTAAAAATACCCTATTTTGTCAGCTGCTTCAGTCTAGCGAAGAGAGTTCTTGCAGAAGTTCTTCCTTTTCTTGTTGTAACTCCTGCAAATGCTGTTGGTTTTGCTCCAGTCTGTCTTCCAACCACTGCAGGAGAGGTCCGCTGACTGCCGACATCTGACTGCACAGATTCTTGGTGAACACTTCAACAGGAAAAACACAGATGAGCTCAGCAGAGTAAATTTTGTCCACTGGCATATTTCTGCTGCACCACCAATGGTGCCTCAGTTGTGAGCACAGACAAAGCGGTTGGAGGAGGAGGTAGAAAGGTGCAATAAGTAGGTCCGGTAAATGATTTTCTGTGGCCAGCTAGGGGAATGACAGAAGAGCTAAGCAAAGAAGACACCTGTTCTGAGGCATCTGGAATCCCTCTAAGTCCATCAGATAGAGAGAAGCCTTTGCTATGCAGAAAGCAAAAAGAGAGTCAGCTCTTTATTCCTTCTGGCAAAAGGACTAAAAGAAGAACACAGAAGTGTTCTTTTCCCAGCCCTTCAGACATTCCCACACTGTAAATGACTCCTAGAGAGCTAGAACTCTGCCTTCTGAAACTTAGATTTCAGAAGTGCTTTGGGAAACATTAATTCAACTCACCTGAGAAGATCTCTTTGAAAATGAGAAAAAAAAGGGGATGAAGAATAAGGGAGTTATCTTTCATGCCTTACTATAAATGTTCAACTCATAGTGAAAGATTCTGTGATACTCTTAAAACGAACTCTGTCTAATGGAAATATCTTTTTCTCTCTCATAATACATGGTGGTTATTAAAATGACCACTGTAAGGTGTATCTTCCCAGATACACATGTGTCTATGCACACACACACACACACACACACTTTTGAATAGAAGCTGAGTTATTTTGAATGTTCCTTTATCCCTACATAATAGTATATCATAGATATCTTTCTGTGTCAATGAAAAAAAATCTAGCTATCTCTTTTGCTTTTTTGCACTAGTACTGTGGATTGAACCCAGGACCTTCACAGTGAACTATGTCTCTAGACCTTTCTATTTTTTATTCTGAGACAGGGTCACATTAAATCACTAAGCTCTACAGGCTGGGCCCAAACTTGCAGTCCTCCTGCCTCAGTCTCCCATAGTGCTGGGATAATAGGCATTCACCACTATGACTGGTTCCAGATTTCCTTCTTAAAGGCTGCACAATATTCATCCGAATGTCTGTACCAATTTAATAAATCCCTTATTGACTGATGTCTCAACAATATCCAACTTTGTGCTATTACATAAACTGTGTTTAAGTGGAATTGCTACATCTAAGCCAATGTATATTTTAAAACTGAAGTATTTTCCATATCATACCAAATTGTATATATCCAGGGATAGGATTCCTGGAATAGGTATATGGTTCACTTCCCTTACGTCCTTATCTGATTATTTCTCTATTTAATCTTTGCCAAAGGGCAAAAAACTGCTAACTTCTTTTAAAGACTATAATTAAATTTTTAATTTCTCTGCAGGGGCTTATAAAAGTGTTTATTTTTTATTTAGTCAATGTTTTATGAGTGGAGAGTTTCAGATTATACTTAGGTTATAGCCTCCCTAGAGTTTGAAAAAAATAATCTCTTACATTTTCTCCTGTATTTTTTTACTTTATAATGAGCTTTATTGAGTTATAATTTACAGGCAATAAAATGAATTAATTTAAAGCATACAATGCAGTGAATTTTGACAACTGTATAACTCATGTCACCACCGTTAGTTAAGATGCCTTTCTTCCTGTCCTACTCTAAGTTTCATTTACAATATTTGAGAGTCCACAGGATTTCAAAGAAATGTCAGGAGCAAAGACAACTTGTACCTATCACTTTAATTACTTTAACTAAATTTGCTGCTCTTGGGAGAGTATTTTGGAGGTTAAGAAAAAAGAAATCTTACCTGAGCCATTATGGATCTTGGTTACTGAGTCCAGATGTGTAAGGCTAAAGGGATGAAATACTTTAGGTTAGTAGCTGTCTTGGTTACTTTTCTCTCGTTGCTGGGACAAAATATCTGACTCCCAAAATTAAGGAAGGAAAGGTTTATTTTGCTTACAGTTTGTGGAGGTTTCAGTCCGTACTTGGCAGATTACAAGGCAGAGTGGCACATGGCAGAGAGCTACTGCTCAGGGCGTTGGAACACAGCAAAGCAACAAGCACACACCAGGGCGGAATGGGGGAGGAATGGCCTCAAGCACTTCCTCTCCCTTACATATGCAAACTATCCACCCCAGGGCGGGTGCAGCTCTTACACCCTTAATCAAACTCTAAAAGCCTGACACATGGCCACATGAGGCTTTGGGGGGACACACAGACATAAACCATAACAGTAGCAAAGTAGCACTGAAAGGAAAACAAAATGGTCATGGTCTGTAACAAAAATGACAAACTACATGTGATCTATGCCAGCTGAATTGGATGAGTTTGTACGGTTTAAATTCCCATTACTGTTATTTTTTAAATTTTGAGACAGGGTCCTGCTATGTTGGTCAGGATGACTACCAACTTGTGATCTTTCTGCCTCAGCCTCCCAAGTAGCTGGGATTATAAATGTGTGCCACTATGCCCAGATCACATTATTGTTAATTTTTAAAAGATTTTCTCTAAAAATTCAAGAGGTAATTCAAAGATATAATTCTGAAATTAATGCCTCTTGCTGAAGCCTTGATATTGTACACATTTATTGGGCAAGACCTGGTGTTTGGTAACCAGGCCACTAAGATGTTATGGTTTATCTTATTTTCATAATCTAAAAAGAAAGATCCTTTCCCTTGAAGGCTAGAATCTATATCAAGAGAGAAAGATATGTTAAAGATACCGTTATCAAGTGTAAGAAAAATCATGATTAAAGACTACAATAAAGCTTTCTCACAGATGAAAGGAAAGGGGGCTCAAGAGTTGAGCCACTAAAATCAAAAATACCAGGCTCTGAGAAGTAAAGAAATGGGACAAGAGTCTCCACCTGTGAATCCTCCGATATGCATCTTGTTCCTCCTGGCACAGGATCTTGGGAAGCTCCACTGCTGATTCAAGACACACTTTCCCAATGGTGACATGAGGCACAATATGGATTGGAATTTCAATTCTCTCATACCTGCAAGGCAACCAGTTCATATCAGCTTTGAGTCCTTAGTTGTAATCGGGAGTCTCTATAATATTAATTGAAACTCCAGGATATAGCATGCTTCAAAAATCAAACATCCTTGTAGTTCATTAAGTGACTAAAATTCAAAGTGGCTGGAGTTCAAACTGGGTTCACCTAGGCAACAAACTGAGAGCCCATTTGCAGAGTCAGTACTGACTAGTCCCATATAGAATCCACTTCAGAAAACTTGACAGAAGCCTTTGGGAATTCAAGGTCCTTATGGCCTACTACCCAGATAAAGAAAACAATTAAATGTTATTTTTAGCCAGGAACACTGCCAGTGAGGTTGAACAAATTGATCACAAAGCCTGGGGAAGAGGAACTGCAGACTTTTAAGTGACTCCATCAGATTCATTATATAGAACTTGTTCACCATAGCCCTCATTTCCCATTCTCTCCCTTGGGGTAAAATAGGGAAGAAATTCACATAAACTTGCAATTTCATGCTACAGTGGGAGAAACAGATATGCTTATTACTAAGGCTATAAACTTCTCATTCACAGACACCTAAACTCCACCTAACAGTGGGTCTAGTGGAAAATCCAGGTTGAGGGTCCTTCGCACCACGAAGTCTCATTGGCATATGACAGTAAAGCTAAATAAGGTCTAATTCCCTGTTCTCTCTTCCTTACCCAGCAGAGTGTGTCTAGGCCCCCTGGTAAAGCCAAGATGGAATACAAATGATGGTGAATTACAACCACCTCTCCCTTCTGCCTACCTAAGGTACCAAGGAAGAACTCATGAAAGAATATACCATAACTGCTAGGTTGTTTGAAGAAGGTCCTTTTGAGTAATACACAATAACTATTATTACTGATGGCTTCGAGTACACTGAAGAAGTCAGTCTGCTGCTGTTGGTTCACTTAACAAGGTTTGTCATGAGCAGAAATGGTTCCAAAGGTCTACTGTACTGTGTTTGGACCTTCACAAATTTTTAGCAGGAACTCTGAGAGATTCTGTCAGTTTACTCAAAACTACAATCCTAGGACCAAGGTATGTAGAGATATAATGCTTATGACAAAGATTCTGCTTCTGCTAATGAAATAGATGGTTAAGACCAATGATGCTACTGCAGCTAGAACAGCTGGGAGAGAGAGGGAGTGAGAGAAGGAAGGAGAAAAGGAGGGAGGGAAGGAAGAAGGGAGAGGGAGAGAGAGAAAATTGGTAAGAAGTCACTGGAGAGCTACTGACATGAGTAATTTAGGGTCAAAAACTGAGAAAGGAGGAAAATCCAAAGAGATGAGCCTGACAGGAAAGATCTCTGGAAGATTTCTGGAAAGATCTCTTCTGATTCCAGAGGAGGAAACACATAGGATAAAAATGTTGAAGTTTTCAAAGGGCTTATGGGTCTAGGTTGACAAAATTATAGTTCAGGGTCTTCAGGTAGAGAGGCCCTGGTAAATTGTCCCTGAATAGTATACATACTAGGAGTAAAAACACACTAGAATGTATAAGGACTGAAAGCTCAACTTTGAATAATCTCAGTTCCTAACTGAATCAACATGATCTGGTAGTTCTATTACAAGATGCTCACCAACCACGATGTCTTTGACCATAAAACAAGAACAAATTAAAAAAAAGTCAACCACCAGAGACTACAAAGGTATGTTTACATGAACTATATTCTAGAGAGGAACAAGGAATAGATGAGTAGAGACCAGCAGCCATTCTTCTCCCCAGGGGCATCTGTTTTATCTAAGAGTACAGACAGGTACAGGATTGTGCTTGCAATAATAGATGAACTCTCCTGGGGTAAGGAGAGACCAATAGCGCTTATAACAATCATGTGAGCCTATGTGATAGAGTGCAATTGGAAGATGCCTTAAATATAGAATTCTGCCCTCCTGCCAATTTTAATCCTCCAGGATATGCTAAGAATATGAAAGCACAGGAAGTTGAGATTTGAGCTGGAAAGTAGAAAGAGAGCTTTTCTTTATGTCATATTTCTGCTAGGAGGTAAGAAATGGAATAATCATAGGGCAAGATTTATCCTATACCCGTATTCCTATAAACCAAAGTAAACCAGAAAATAACTAAAGTAGCAGCACTTCTGATTGGATGGAAGCCTCTTATGCTAAAAGGCTGATACATGAAAGGGCATGCTCTTTCTAGACAATAATATTCAGCCTGATGTCTATAGTTCATTCAATAACTCTGCTACACAATAAAAAAGTTAAGAGACAAGAAAATATAACAGATGATCAAGAGAAAAAGTCAGTGGAGGAAGACCCATAGATGACACAAATACTAGAATTAGTAGATAAAGAAATTGCACTATTAAAATGTTTTTTAAAAAACTCACCTTATTAAAAAGCTTCTGAGCATCAAAAGAAACCACCCACAGAGTGCAAAGACAATCCACAGAGTGGGAAAAAATTTTAGCTAAGTGTCCCTCAGACAAAGAATGTCTATCTAGAACATATAAAGAATTGAAAAAACATCAGATTCCCCAATTTCAAAGACCCAATTCAAAAATGGGCATCTGAGATGAATATGCACTTCTTAGATGAAGAAATAAAAATGGCAAATAAATACATGAAAAAATGTTCAACATCACTGGTCATTCAAGAGATGCAAATTAAAACAACACTGAGATTCCATCTCACTGTAGAAAGAATGGCTATCATCAAGAAATTAATCAATGACAAATGCTAGAGGGGCTGTGGGGAAAAAGGAACCCTTCTCCACTCTTGGTGGGAGTGCAGACTGGTGCAACCATTGTGGAAATCAGTCTGGAGAGTCCTCAGCAAACTAGGATTAGAGGTCCCATTCAACCCAGATATGCCCCTTCTGGGTATTTTTCCAGAAAAATTAAAAACATCATACCACAGTGATATATGTGCATTCATGCTTATAGCACTACAATTTGTAATAGCTAAATCTTGGAAATAACCCAAACGTCATTCAACCAAGGAATGGATAAAAAAGATGTGGTATTTTTAGCCATAAAGCAGGATAAATTTGAGAATTTTACAGGTAAATGGATGCAACTTGAGACCATACTAGTAAGTGAAATAAAGAAAACTCACATGTGTAAACATCATTATTGTCTCCCTGGTGTGAGAAACTGAAAGAGTAAATAAGGTCTAAAATGTATAACAGATACCGTGAAATGGGAAGAAATTGTTCAAAAGGAAAAAGGAACTCGGATGCATGAAAGGGGAAAGGATGGAAGGGAAAAGGGGAAAAAATGCAATTCCGTTATACTATTAGTATGTCTTAGTTCACTGAAAAAGAAGGTTTGTGCTAATATTGATTAGAGAAATTTTTATGCCCACATCTTATATTCTGAGCAACTACTTTAAAGATAAGAACATGCAACGTATTAACTCTTGTTATTCTTCTATTATGTTATGAAATTTTGTTCTACCCTTTTTCCATAAAATAAAATAATTAAATAAAATGTTTAAAAACATTGAGTAAAGATGGACAAAATGGACGAAAGCATGGAGAATTACTACAATTAAGAGTTATATAAGCCACTCCCCAAATGAACCAAATGAAGTGATTTCAGCAAGATGGCAGACTAAAAGGTTTTAGGACCTTGGTCTTCCAGAGATATTGAGTTAACAAAAGTATACAGACTGAAATATCTTTGTAAGAACACTGTAGAAAGCAGTTGGAGAGTTGTAACACCCTTTCTTAGTTACTTTTTCTCATTGCTGAGGCAAAATTCTTAACACCCAAAGTTAAAGGAGGAAAGATTTATTTGGCTCACATTTTGTAGAGGTTTCAGTCCATAGCTGGCTGGGTTCAGCACAGGGTGGCATGGCAGAGGGGCATTGAAGAGGAGAAACAGCTCATGGCAGCAGAAGGCAACAAAACAGCAAAGTAGCAAGCAGCAAGTGATAAGCAGCAAAAAGAGCAGCCCTCTTTCTGGTCCAGACATTCTATCCTCTTTTTGTGCCTTATACTCTATCCAGACTACATGCCCTTAGGGCAGATAGCACTCACACCCAGAGTGGGGTTCCCTTAATCCTAGCATCACATCCTTAATTCCAGCATCACATAATCTAGATGTAGTCACCTCCTTAAAGCTCCAACTACGACCACACGAGGCTTTGGAGGGACATCTACATACAAGACATAACATACCCAGACCAATGTAAAACCAAGAAGTGATTTCAGTGAAAGTAGCAGGAAAATTTGTGGCACACTGTGTGCCTGTCCACTTCCTCTTCCTTATTTGACCCTACCACAATATAATGGGGAGACACCCTGTCACACTAGGGGTCCTGCCTTGGGCTGCAAAAAGAATATACTGAGAGTCTAAAATTCTGGGAACTCTGGGGACTGCCTGAGGGTCTGGAATCTGTCTCACCTGACTTGCAGTGCTGACAGTAATGGCAGCTTGATTTGGAAGGTGATAACAGACAAACTCACATGTTAAGGATTTGGTTCTGTGGGCAGCCACCAGAATAAAAGATTATAGGCTTCTGGGAAAACACAGGGACAAACTACTTGGAGAAAATGAAATAACTAAAAGCACATGCACATTCTCAGAAAGGTTTGAGGGGTCTTAGAATCTCTGTTTTCATTGATCAGCAAAAGTCTTCTGCACAAAGTCAGTCTCTGGAGAAGTTGTTTTTTCAAATGTTCAAGTCTCAACAAAAACAAGAACAACAAATCACAAGGCATACAAATAAACAAACACAACCCATCAAAACAAAAAATACAACTCCAGAAACTAACCCTAACAAAACACAGATCTATGACTGCTTAAGAAAGAATTTTAAATAATTGCCATAAAGATACTCAGTAGATTAAGAATAAACAAACAATAAATGAAATCAGGCAAGTGATGCATAAACAAAATGAGGGTACCAACAAAAATATAGAAACTAAAAAAGAACCAAATAGAAAATCTGGAGCTAAAAAACAGAATAACTCAACTGAAAATAGCACTATAAAGTTAACCACATATTTTATCAAACAGAAGGGAATAATCA